TTTTAAAGATTTATTTATATTTGGCGATAAGAATTACAATTGATTAATCTATTTTTAGTTNTAAATTTTATAATTATTTCCTTATATAATACACTTAAGAAGAGGTCAACCGGTCGATCAATATGTTCCGTAGCGTTAACGAATCTGTAATTTCTTGGCTAGTGGACCTGTACTCACAGGTCTAATGTTGTGTTTTTAACTTTTAAAGATTTATTTATATTTGGCGATAAGAATTACAATTTTTTAATCTATTTTCAGTTTCTGGATCATTAGTATTGTACAGCTTGGTTGTTTCCTTCCAAGACGGGTGTTTTTATTTTCCATTAACAAAATCAGTCTAAAATGTATATTAATAATTACCTTACTTAGCATATTGTAATTTATAATTAAGTTAACCTGTCAAACAAATATCTAAATATTTTCAATTATATCCTAATGTGGAATTACCAATTCCATTAATGTCGCTTTTTCTTGTTCAGTAAAATTTGTCTACCTTACTTTTTTTGGAGTCATCTTTTTAGATAAAACAAATATTATACTATAAATTGTGGTTGGAATATTTTTCAAATATTTATTGTTTATTAATGTTATTATTGATTGACAATCGGTAATGTAATCAGTAATCATTTTAATAAAAATAAAACGAGGTCCAATTTATTTGGCAACCATGGTTATCAATAAAACACAAATCTTTTATGCAACTCAATTTTTGTTCTACCAGCTATTAAAACGTTACAGGCTTAGTTGGTTACAAGCTCGTTAGTTAAGTTACAGACTGATCTTTATGTAACCCGTGCTTAGTAAGTTTATTTTGTTGCTTTCAGTCATCGTTCATTGAATCGAAAAACCGCCAATTTATCCACAAGTTTAGGCGTTAGAGAAAACACATTTTCGGTACCGGAAAACACATTATTTAAATATCTATTATGCAATACGATTTACTAAATTATTGAAATACTTAGAATTTAAAGATTTATGTTCACATATTACTCTGTCCGGTTTGAAATCCACTGTATACTATACATAATACGTTGTACCTAAAACGTATCTTAATTGAGAATAATACATTTATTAACGGACAAAAACAAATATTGTTATATCTCGTCAGAGTAAAACTAATATATCCTTGGCTATGTTCAGAAACTAAAATCATACGGGAATTATCATTAGTAGTTTTTAAGTTTTAAGTACTTTGTACGTATTGTTATTCAATTCTAATCGGTTGTCTACATTATAGCTTTAAGTGAAATATTAATCTACAAATTGAAATAAGTTTCACGGGTTATAATAACGTGATATTGTAATATCAGTAATTAGTTTAGTTTGGAAGAGTTTGTATAGATACGGAAACGGCAGAGACTGCGGGAGATGTTAATGAAAAATAACATCATATCATATCCGACTGTCGTTTATTGATTATTGATATTTTAGTTACTTTAGTAGTTTAATTGGATAGTTTTTCGATGTAGATAATAGTAATTATTAAATTCGCACGCGTCACGCGCACGCACGGCGTTTTGGCGTTTTATGATTTGCACAGACATACGGACTCTTTATTATTTTCTCGTTAGTGTCTACCTAATATTATCAAGATCGATACAAAACGATTTTAAAATAAACAAATAGAGAACAAAAAAAAAAAAAAATGAACAGTTAAGGTTTTGTGTAATTATTCGCAGGAGAGTTGTACAATTTATCATACTCGTATATTTAAGATAAAATATTATTTAATAGGACATTTTTTTTTAGATTTTGAGTGTACCGAGGAATATTTTGATTTCACCACGAGTGCATTTTTTTAAAAAATTAAACATTTTTTTTTCTCTCTGTCAACTTTCTACCAGAAATATATCTCCAATACAAAATCGACAAGAAACTTTTAGTGTTGAATTTTACATTTATTTGGTGCATTGAGCAAGTTATTTTATTTTTTATTTTTTTTTTTTAAGCGGTTTTAATAATAATTAAGAATAACCGGAAAAATAGGTGTTTTTAGGATCCGGCATTTGAATTGCCTGCCCTCGTAGTCGAGTTCGGTAGTGAAGGCGATACACGATTCTGATTTGCTACGTACCCTCCTATCGAAAATATCTGGGCACGCCACAGGTAAGATTACACATCTTGCTGGTCAAATGAACGTGAAGTGAACGATTATTAAATGATGCGGTGTATACAACTTAATAAAATATAATTTAGGTCAATGAAGTAAACTAACCGAGACGACTGAATCTCAAATCTATTAAAGGCAACTGGAACGACACGGTCTTTCCGAATCAATGTACGTGCGAGTATGACGATTAGCGAACATTTAAGTATTGTTTAATTTATTTTATATGCATTTTGTGTTTTGATAAAGTTTTCCGTTAATCATATTAACTGTTTTTCTGTTAAGTAGCTAGAGGGTATATACAGTGGCATAGTGCATATATTACAGTGACGTCCAACGTAATTCGTTAATCGACACCCTGGAATCTTTAAATATTGTGTTTGTTTTTGCGAATAGAAATAAGTATTAATTTTTTTTGGTTGTGTGTGGTGACACAACAGTGAATTATTCAAATGTTAGACATTGACGCTTTGAAGTTTACCGTATGTAAACATTAAGGTGATGTAACAAACCCGGTTTTTTATAATTCTGTAAATAAAACAGAAACACTATGAAAATAACGATCAGATCAAGGCGGTTATAATATAACACGGTGAACCTAGTTCGACTTTACCATTACGAAGATACTATTACACGTATTTTACTTTTTTATTTTTCTCAAGATATAATTAAAATCGTTTTTAAGTGCGTTGCCCGGTGTGATCAAAAGGACTCTTTTAATTTTTATCGTGCATTTGGATAAATTATTGTGGATTAAATGAATAGGTACTTATTAAAACGCTGCTCTCGCAAAAATCAATTGTCGGTCACATTGGACAACTTAAAGACGGCCATTTTAATTTTATCTTTGACAATTCGACGTCGCAGATGAAATGTAGAAAGAAACACAAAATAGAAATATTTCTCTATATTATTTGAATACTGAAATGTGAAATGGGAATATGAGCTATCGGAGCAATCGAAAATTGTGTTTCTTTTCCGTGAAATAAACAAGATATATAAATGGCCTGATTAAAATGTTTGCTTTCCAATTGAAAAAGTCATACGGTACCCCTATGTCGGTGGCTATCCGGCATCGGTTGGGCGTCAGGTAAGTTCTGCGTTCTGCCGTTCTGCGGCAGCGGTCCGTCGGCAGCCGCTATTATTCGGCACGGATTGATCGGTGACGGCTGGCTACGGTTCGGCGGCGGTCTGGTTCGGACTTTTATTGTTCTTTCGTCAAACAACGTTTGGTAGTTGTTGACGGTTTGAAGAGTCGATATAAAGGGACATAATATACGTGTATAATATATGCATTACAAGATAGTAAGTCACTCATGGTTGGCCGTCGAGCCGTTTCTAAGGGTGAAGAACCACATGCCATCGGTTTTTATAATATAGTATATAATTTTATTTACTATATTTTCTATATTAATCATTTGTTTTGCATTTTGTATTATTAAACAATTATTTTCTTATATTTTAAATAGTAAATTTAAAAATTATATTACCGCAAACTCCGCAACTCATTGTAAATATCGTATTCCCCACCGACTCCTCGATGGAAAACCCTTTTTATCTTTGTAAAATAACCATTTTAAAATAATGATATCTCTACAAACAATGCATCATAATTTATAAGCCCATAAAATTATTATCTGATACCCCACAACAAACCTTTCACTAAGTTTATGTACGTAAATAAATGAAAATTTTTGTTATTCAAAATACCCCGTTTTCAATTTATTTTTACGGAATACAAATTTCCAACCATTAAGTTTGTTTTAGTTATTAGTATAATTTACTCAATTTATTATTTGTATAGGAACATAATTTAAGATTTTAGTTAATAAATGAACAACCAAACGATAAAAAATACTCCAACAACAAAAGGAATAGAAATAGCTCAAATTAATTAAATGATAATAGAATAAATTGCAAAAATAAAAATCCCAATATACGTATATCAGAGTATAAAAGTAAATCAAGTACAGATTTAAAATATGACAGACAAAACAAAATTTGTTGTTTTTCTATCGAATCGACAATCAAAAGATTTGTCATCATTCCAAAAAATGTGTGACAAAAGGAATATATTAGCGACAGATTTATAATAATAATTATACGAGTTACGTGCAACAAGATAGCCAAAGTAGATCGACAAAAAAGAACTATAAAAACGATAATGGAAACGACAACAACTAAAGCTACTATAGTAGAGGAAATATTCGAAGAAGAACACCAGAAAATTATAGAGGAGAGATCACTATGACAAAGGATCTGAAAAAGTTACTTACTATTGGTGTAATGAAAGAGGATACAATATAGATAAATGCAAAAATTAAAAAAATTTTTTGTGTACAGAGTTATGAAAAAAATCGATGCGTTTAACTCGGTAAAATAATTATGAATCAAATAATTTAAATTCTGATGATACCAAAGGACTTGAAACAGATAATCACATACACTTCGTAAAATACTGACACGGGGTGCAAAAATTAAATTAAGTCATAATCCGAAATGTTCAGAACAACAATTCGAATAGACAGTTCGGCAGTCAAATCTAATACTATAGGTCGTTTCAAAATCACCATTGATGACGAAATTAACAATAGAGTTAAACATATTTCTGATTCATTCATGAAAATTCAAAATGCACAAGGTGATGGCGATTGTAGAGATTATTTATTACAACACGAACACAATATTGGGGGTGCTAAAATTATGTAACAGAAAATAACTTGTGGGGAAATGCCCCTATACTCCCAAATGCCATTTCTTAATTTTTTATGAATCACCATAACCATAACCATTCTAAAATGTATCATATCTGTTATATTTATGCTTAGTTAAAATATTAAATTAAAATGCATATAATTACAAAATGTAGTTTTATCTTCTTTATAAGCAGAATTTACATTTTAAATCCACTGTGTTTCATATAATAGTTGTTCAACATAGTTACAATGTTTAGCAGAAATAAATCAGAAAATCTATGTTGAAGCATTTTTGATCTTGACCAGTTCTTTATTTTCTCCGTTGTCGAAAAACTTCGCTCGTAAGTAGCAGAGCTTACAGAATATATAATTGTCATTATCATTTCAGCTATTAACACATTAATCTTTACAACCAAAATATCCTATAAAAAAAAAAAAAAAAAATTATTGTTTATTTAATGATTAAAATTAATTTTTTAATTGTTTTCACCTTATGATTGATGAACTTATGATTTCCATTATTGTTTAAACTCCTATAATTATCAACTGAATTAGCTATTGATAAGTTTTTCTCTGAAATTTTATATTTAAGATTAGCAATCACTGTATAAATTATTAGAAAATATAAAGATATTTTCCAAAAATCACCAACTGATAAAGTAGTTTGTTCATATTCTCCTGTTACTGTTTCCTGGTGATAACTATTCAAAGATGTGGGCTGGGTTCTTCTGTGTTTTGATCCTTTATAATTTTTATTTATAAATAAATAGCGAACGATTATTAAAGCAATTAATTATTTATTATTTACGAATTAGAATTATAGCTGTTAACTAACAGCTATAATTGAATTCCGTGTTTTTTGTATTTGTATTTCTAGTTGAATAAAAAGAAAAAAAACGGAAAAATAAAGAGCTGTCGGATAAGTAGTAGCGACCGGCTACCACTTATCACAGTGATTTGGTGTTTATTTCGTTCATATCTAATCTACTTCATATCGTATTATAAAAAAATATGATAATATCACTTACCTCGGGTATTCCATTTCACGTCCGTTGGAAGTTTGTTGTAAGATCGCTGTCCAGATGTTTCTTCTTCTTCTTCTATGCGAGAAGCCTAACCTCATTGAAAACTTAGTTCTCCTCTCCTCTCTTTTAAATACCAGTCTTTTTATTTCAACATATCGAGTACAGTATAATTTCTTCTATATATGAATTTCTCAGTCTGCCTCTCTCCTTATGTCCGATTATTCGTCCTTCAAATACATTTGTCATAAACGGGTTGTGTAGGGGACTAAATATTTTTTCGCTTCTTTCTTTTATAATGTTCAACAAAATTCTTTTTTCTCCAATATATCTTTGTTACTTTTCATTTCTATTGTTTAATTTCAACAAACTTCTCCCCGACCACATTTCCATTGCTACCAACTTCTTGCCCTGTTCATTGATGGTCTATGTTTCATAACCATATAGTACGCTCCATACATTGCATTCAACAACAACTTCTTACATTTTTATATTAAGTTTTTTGTTTGTAAGCAACGGTTTTTTTTTGCTATAACTATTCTTTGTTCTATTATTAATTCCTATAGTCGGTTTCACAACACTAGGCACTCGATCGAAGCGCGACCCGTGGACAATTCTCGTCAGGGTTTCAAAAAATGTTCGTATAAAAGCGCGCCAAATTTAAAAAAAACATAATGACAGCTGTTAGGTATATTTCGCATTTTAGAAACCAACTTTGGCAATGCCCTCTAGAACGTTGAAATCCCTATACGTTTCCTCAATCATTTAAAATAAATTACACTCGGTATTTTATCAAATGTTTTTTAATAATTCTGCTGAGATGTTATTCATTTCTGACTCTTTACCTTGCTTAATCATTTAAATTCACTTAGTACTTTAACGAATTCGTTTTTTGTTACATTTGGTCTTATTTCCTCTTCACTTGATTCTGTTATATTTTCAATATTCATGTCATTTTATTCTATCAATCTTTAATGCAATTTTTCTTTGTATTCTTTTCATCTCATTACTATTTCACTTTCATTTAGAAACAGTTACCCATTTGTATCCTTAAAAATTTTAAATAGACACTGGTCCTCTAACACACCATCACCGAAACCACTGTACTGTTCAGATACTTGGTTGGCTATACTAACTGTTTTTCCTGATTGACGACCACGAAAAAAGCTATGTTGAGATCATACTCAAATCAATTGAGGGAAATATATAGGGTGATGTAGAACAATAAACACGTCTAGATGTGAGAGAACAAACGAAAGTGACAATAAGTACAACTACCAGGTTGAATTTATATGAAATGATCAAATTAACGGCCCACCTACAGTATCTAAAGCTGTTTTCTTTGATATAAACAGGGNACTACACTAAATAGGGCTTGAACCCAAAAGGACCACTTGTCTAAATAATAATAATTAAAAATCTATTTAAACTTACATCAAAACGATAAGTATAGAAGAAAACGACTGTAATGTTTTGACTTTGTTAAAACGCTCTCCTAAACATTTTTACCTAAGTAAACACATTCAGTTCATTAGTATAAAATAATATTAAATAACACATTTTTAACGTTTTTTTTTGTTTTTAATATATTATTTTAAATTAGTATTCGTTGAATAATCGGAAGTCACTTGCTGAATGTTTTATAAAATATTCAGCAAGTGACATCAGGTATATCAGGCAAAACCAAAACGTTTTAACAATAAGTGCATTTTACTTTAAACCACAAATCATTCACAGTCCTAAGTCTGTACAAATAGGAAGGGACATTGCTTGTTATCGTTTGGATCCAACTAGTAAGAAACGCGTAAAAATACAGAAAATATTTCAGCCGAACCGTAATTTGGTCGATAAATTTTATAGCCGAAACATATTTTATCCGAACCGTATTTTAATAGACAAATATTTAGTCAGAACCGTATTTGAACCGACTGTATTTTAGTCGACTAGTATTTTATCCGAACTGTATTTCAACCGACAAATCGCCCTCTTATACAAACAACCTTCTGATATTCCCATTTACAGTCCATTTGTGCGAATACTGACCCTCCCGTACCGGTTATGTTAGAGTTCGTATTTTTTTTTGTTATTTTTTTTTTTATAGAGGCGCGATCTATATAACTATATTCTTACATTTACTTTTATAAAAATAAATTTATTGCATTGCACTGAAGCATTTTTATTTGTAGTTGATAACAATAATGCTGTACAATGAAATGCGACTCTCTAAATATACTTGTTGATAAAAATACTGCCGCATAATGAAATACGGCCTTATTGGACTAAAATAACTATGAAAATAGCGTACTTATAACCATAAGCTATTGAATCTTAAAAACAATGTCCTGAATAATACACCTTTTTTGATATACGGTCTTCTTGCACTGACTGTGCGAATTATGTTGTTTGTGTGGGAACTGATAATTGTACTTACTACGTCACTTTGATCGTTTATTTTACTAGTATTGGATATTCACTACATTACAAATTCATTTCTATTTACTTATTGTACTACGTCACACTCGTTCGATTATTACAAATATAAAATATTCAATTTATTACACTCAATATCTCTCAATAAGCCACTCATTATCTCGAAAAGTGCTAAATCTTTTCGGAATTTTTTGATTGAAAAATTTAAAATACAAGCAGCTATAAAATGTTACGTTGCCATTATTTTTTGTCACATTATATGTCGGGTTTGAAACCACTTCCTAATTTTAATTTTCAAATAGCAAAGTTTGTTAAAAATCTTATAAATAGATTTTGGTTCAGCTTATATTTATATATATGGGTATATATTTAATATTGGTGTTTTTAATTTCCAAAAAACCGCTGGTGAGTTATTTTACTTTTAAGTTTGGGTAGAGATCAATCTCTTTGTATGCGTGTGAAGTCCTCCCCACTTCATTATATAATTTAAACATATTTGTAACTTAATTTTTTAACTTTTCACTTTTTTCAACTTGTTAGAATTTTTAACTTCATTGTTCAACCGTTACAATTGGTTACTCAATATGAGGCCATTTTCACACGAGCTCCCCACATTAATATATCGATAAAATTTAAATGCATCATATTCCTTTTAACTTTTGACTAATTTTTTAAAAGTATAACCTCGCTCTACCAGGGTAATGATCTTTTCCTAATCAGGGTCTCTCCTACCCCAATCACATGAAAAAACTTCAAATCACATATAACTCAACCAAATTTGTATTATTTATAATTTCTTAACTTCAGACCACTGATCGGTTTTCCCATGTGAGGCTCTAAACATTTCAAACTAAATAAAATCTCCAAAAACTTTTAATGTAGCTTTTAATACCCAATTTTTAACTAATCTTTTAGAATTTGTAACATCGTCAGAACCAAATTAGAATTGGCTTTTCAATGAGGGGATAGATCCCCAAACCAACTAAAATAAATAATAACTTTTGTAATTTAATCAGCATTATTTGCCATTAGTCTTAACTAAATATATATTATATGATACATCATCATTTCAGAATTTCGATTGATTTTCTATTTTAGTTTGAAACCTACTCTACATAGTAGTATTGTGGATATAAAGAATGGTATGTAATTTTTTATGAATTTATAATCTGCTATTAGGTAGGTATTATCACAAAATCTATTGAAATGGTAGGTATGTGTTATGTTAGAACAATTAAAAATATTATATAGTCGGTTAAAAATTGTATAACGCGGCTACCCAATAATTTAAATAATGGTTAAAATTGATTTTTCTATTGATTATTTTAGTTAAATAATTATATTATGTATTTTAAATATTAATGGTTGTTCAGAACATGAACATATTTATTAGACATGGAATTCTAGTTTCTCAAACTAAATTAACCGAATGCATTATATAGTGTGTAGATATTGCACTATTATCACAATAAATTATATTATAATTTAGCTAAAACGATTTTTCCCGCTTTCAAATAGCATTCAATACTGTAGGTTAGGTTAGATATCGTGTTAGCATTACTAATGAGTAAATGAAACTAAAATCACAAGGAAGCATATCGAAAGTTTCTTGCCTATTAGTACTGGAGTTGGTGAGAGAAACTATTTTAGGAATTTCACCGGTAGAACATGTTTTATGGCCAAAGTCCCGGAACATATTAAGACTAATAGCAACAGAGACTTTCAGTTCATTCGGTAAAAAGGCGATAGATTTTGCCCGTAGATAGGAGAAATACTGAAAGTTTGGAGGATCAGATGATCAATTGAAGAACGAATTTGAATTTTTAAATACCGGTAAATTGTTATTACCAGGGCATTGAATTACCAACGTAGGGTGATTAAGGTCAGGGAGTACAAGAGAATCACAGAAGGCTTCATATTCATTGCAAAATTTCCTGAGATAATAAGTATACAAACTCAGGATAATTGACCGACATCTAAAATAGCAACAGGACAATTGACCTTTAATAATATATAAAGTAGTAATTTATAATGCCCCGCAAATTATATTTTTATTTAATTGTCCATTAATATGTATAATATAATTATATATTTACAAAATTGTTTAAATATGAAATAACCCACTATAAGAATAAGATAACATTTTGCTGTGCAAAATTTCATAAAATATGGTCACAGTAATGTAACAATATGTTTAACATTTAAAATTAGCTAAAAATCATTCATTGAAAATCGAAGATATCTCCAATTTCTTGACTCAAGATTGGCCTGTGGATCTAATTACTTACAAGTTTTTGATAGATTTAATATAAGGACTAATTTTTTTATCCCTGAATCCAATATACTGGGAAGAAAATGAAGAGTATAAAAAAGGAAAAGAGACAGTTGGATCATCAAAAGTCGTTAATGATACCACCAAATGCTAAGTTAAATTCATGGAAGAATTAAATTGTTAAATTACGAAAAAATAAAGAACAAAAACAGTTTTGGTTACAAGTAAATACATTTTATCAATAATATTTTGAGCTAATATTAATTTTTTACATTTTTTTCCAGAAAATTCAAGATTATCGTACAAAATATCATAGTCACAACCGTGAAACTATGTGTATGCCATAATAATTATAAAAATAAATTTCATTGTAAGGCATATTAAATGTACGTTTAAATAAATTATTTCGTAGAAAATAATGAATTTACGAAAAAATATATTTTATTACATTTTATAGATATTTTTAAGCTCTATAATTTTGGTTTTATATATTTTCATGGTAAGTACTATCATTTTGTACATACATTTGAAAAACCACTATAGTACCCACTTATGCCATTTTTCAACCCTAAGTCGGCACCATAATGGGTAACTAAAGTTTACTAAAGTATAAGTTTTACTAAAGTAAAGTCTTCCAAATTTTACCCAAATTTTTTTCTCATGTGATTTAACAAGTTTAGTGGGTATGGACTGAATATAATCAAGATTAAAAAATAAAGACCACCCTAATATTTGAACATACCTAGTATGTAATGTTATGGCAGTATCGATAAAATATAGCAAGTTTAAAAAAGATATTATAAGGCATTATACAGTAGTGTGTAACGGTGTGCGTAATAGAATGAAACACGTTTTGTAATAATGCCGTTATTAAATAAATAAAACAATGTCCATCAAATTTCACCATTAGTTATACAAAATATAAATGTTCACTTATTAATAGAATTTCAAATACGAGTTGGTATTAATAAAAAATCAAAATGGGTAGCCAAAATAACCACAATGTAACATTTTATAGTTGTACATTTTCAAAAAAAAAATTCCGATCCTACTTTCCACCTATACAAAATATCCCTCAAAAGAATCCTACCTATACAATTTCATTGTAATCAAATATTTGCAGTCAACTTCAATGATAAATTGCAACAGTTACCGAGCTCAAAGCTCATTTTCTCCTGCAAAACAATAATCAAATAACTTAAAGTGTAAAACGTTATTAAATTTGGATTATTTCAAGGTTAATTTGTATTCTTAAAATATATCCTTGTAGGTGGATTAATGTTATTTTTTTAGAATAAAATCATACAATGCAATTTAGTTATAGGGTATTTGTCAAAAAAAAGAAAAAATGAAATAAATACCATTCGTAAATCCAAAAAATTTTCCATGTTATCCATAAATTTTCCTTGTTACTTTTTCTTCTTATCAGTACTTTGAATATTTTTGTTTCCAGTTACGTCCTTACTAAATTAAAAACAAGTATTATATCACCATTGAGTATTCTAAGGAGTAAATCTTCAAAAATCCAGAGGTGGGAGCGATTTATAATTTATAATTATATTTTCTAACGACATCAGACATCAAAATTAAATTTGTTAACATTTCATATTAAAATTTGAAAAAACCAGATGGGCATGTTTTCCTCTTGCCCTGACCCCCTGAAATGGACGCTTATGTGTGTAATAGTGTATCATAATTATTACATTGTAATCTATATATAATATTATGTTTAAGCGCTGATATCGTGTTTTTCAACAATTATTTCTTAAACATCTTAGATGATATTAATCTGTTAATTCTTCTTAAAGAGTGTAGGTAACCTGTACACAAATATACCATTTTAATTATTTATAGTTGTGAATTGTGAACTTATGGCATATTGGTATCATATAATCGTGTGTTACTCTAGCGCCTTAAGACCGTCGTGTGAAAAATTGTTGTACCTACATGATGTGTCGTTTCCATTTTACAAACGTACGAAATAGCAAATTAGGATTTAGCAGAGACAACTCTGTGCTGTTAGTTTTAATATAAGGGTTAATTGATTTACTATCAAACTAAAAATAAGAATATTGTTTGTGTATCTACGATGTTTTATCCGAAATTTTCAATTTTAAACCAAGACAATAATATAAAACGTTACAATTTAAAAGTGCCTATATTTTATGGGAAAAAAATCGTTCATATTAACCTGATAAATGCATACCTAACTATTAACTATTTATAAAACTGGAATTAAATAGGAATGTTAAATTATATAAGTACAAGTCTTTATTATAAGCCATGTTGTAATAATTAAAAACAGGTGTTTAAGCGATGGTGTGAACGCTGATAAAAACAATACAATATGATAATGCCATCTAATTTGTTGATCGATTTTCAATCTAAAAACATTATTATGTACAAAGAAAAGTCGATGGTATTACTCAAGGCTGGAGATCTATATTTGAAACCTACAAAAAAAACACTTAAAAAAACATTTAAAAATTTAACGAAATTACAAAATAAAATTGTCTGACACAAAGTAATTTTTAAATGAGGTAAAGCCGTTAGAGATGGGGAATTTAAATCCCACAGCCATATTTACTCCTAAAAAAGTTTTTTTATGGGTTTTTTGACATTTTAACTGGCAACAATTATCCCTATTAATGGGTGGTTCAAAAGAATGTTCAGTTGTCATTCCATTATATTGTAATAAACAATAATACCGTTAACAAAGTTTATTTGCTAAACTCTACATTATAAATAGTCCACAGGGAGATCAACTTATCACCAACCAACAATTTTTTTCGGTGAATTTGATTTCTGATTATGGAATCATTTAAGCTTCGTTTTAAAAATATTTTTATATTTCTCACCTCTAATCCTTATACTTGAAATTATCATACAGTATATATTTTGGATTTTTTTTTTTTATGTGTGTGCAACTTTTCGAAAATCGGTGAGGGGAAGTACTATTAGAAGGTCATTTTTCAATTTTCTCGAGAGTTTTGTCATCAAATATGATAATCCGAAAAAAAATTAAGGAAAAACGAGAAAATTGGAACATAAACAAATATTATTAAAGAACATATATAATACATATAGTACAATGCATATGTAATTATTTTACCATAATACGACACATACATATGTATACGTATTCATATTATTGACATAGCATCACTATCGACTGAACCCAGCTCAGAATAGCTTTTTCGTTAGCAATTGTTTATCGTTGCTTACAGGTTGCATACATTAAATTACCTACAACAGTGGTCACGCACGTCCTCATTATCCTAGGGCAGCTATTTTTAGATATGCAAAGGAGGAGTAAACAAATGAAAGTAATGTAAAACAGCTTAATAAAACAGCTAAAAAACAACTACTCCATATTCATGTATTAAAAAATAATAAATAATAAATCAGATATCAAGTTCATTTAAAATCTTTCGAGTAAATCGCTGGTTCGTGGTATGGTTAATCACTTTGTATATAATATAATCAGGTTGCTCAAATGAGCATAATCGCATTGCATTAAAAAAAAAAAAAAAAATGAGGGCGACTATATATAAGTAAGTGTAGGAGTCGAGAGGTGTAAACCAATGTGACGATTGATGATGATAGTTAATGATTACGTACCGGAAAGACGAAATCGCAGGTTTTGTGCGCAATACTTTGCTTACGAATAACTTGTTTTTCGTCTCGGTTTCTTTGAGCTGTTTCTGCCGGTTGATGTACGAAGACGATACTGTTGGACCAACAAGATTGCTGGATTTCTGGACGGGCTTTCTGGAATTTCCGCCAGGCGGCGCGTTGTATGCGGTGACGATCTGGGATATTTTTTTCAATTTGCTCTGCTTGGGCGGTGAAGACTTGAAGGCGTTGTCGGCCACTGACCACAAGTACTGAAACGGTTCGACGCGGGTGGCTTCGTGCGGGCGCTTGTTGACCAAGGATTGCTTCGCAAAGGTCTTGTCCACATCGTGATCCGCCCGAAAACGTCCTGACGGTTTGTTTTTGATCTTTTTGTTCGTCGCGTTTTCACCGTCTCCGTGGTGCGACTGCTGAGCCATTTCGGGCGATATCAAAGTATTCACCCCGATGCCAGCACTGTAACTGTCACACTGGGATAAATGGTCATATGACCCTTTTCTTCCCAGAATTACTGTTTTTGATCCCAATGAGTATGGTATTCCGTTGTACTCTTTGTAAGACCACGGGTCTGGATATTCTGCGTTCAGCAACTAAAGAAAAAAAGAAAACAGACGAATGAAACGCCAATATTTCGGACGGTAAACCCGTAGAGTATTTACGGCAATTATTTGCAATATAATTTCACTAGTAGGTGAAGAAGTAAAAAAAAAAAAAAACGTCAATTACGATTCGAAAATAATAAATTTCGTAAATTCTCTCGTCTTCCTACGTTTTTTCTCGGTTTTTCTGAAAATCTTTGAGAAAATCAAAAAAAAAAAAAATAATTCCCTTTTTAAATCATAACACCAGTCACAGACTTCCTTTCAGAAAAATTAGTACACTTGAAAAATCGGATTACAATTTAAATATTACTGTAAAATTAATAGATCCTTATACGATAATTGAGCCGTTTTACGCGTTCATCGTAAATCTATAAACAGTTATGGATTATTTTGAAATTCGGAAATAATCAAAATAGAAATACAACCAGTTTTATTGCTAACCTCAATCGATAGAGTAGTACATAAACATTGCGAAAAATACGGATATACTTCTCCCGATGGATGGGCCACTGTTGTAGGTGTAGAGTTGGGAAGATAGGTTATAGAGAGGGATTTAATGTATATATAACGATTGAAGTTTGCTAATGAAAAACGATTTTGAGGTGACATCGATTATACATGTTTTGAAAAGTGGAAATATTTACGATTCACGTTAAAATTGATACTAAAGTTCTAATATAAAAAAAGTTCTATATTACTCATTTTTTTGATCATTAACTACAATTTATGCTGAACCTCCTGTTAAATTTTCAAGTATTTCTGTTTTGTCTAAGTTTTTTCTATAGATTACCTACTGAATGAAAACTATGCAATAAACTCACAAAATTAAAGAGTCTATAAATAACTGAAAAATTCCTCCAATGTTTTGAACATTTTACCACGTCTACAAAAGGCAAATATAAATTTTTGTTTAAATTTCAAGTATTTACGAACATTTTTAACTGAATTTTAATAAAAAAAAAAAGAAAGTTTTTTGAGTTTTTCACAATTTCTATGAAAAGTGCTTAAATAAAATTACCTCTTTAAAGAATGCTACACTTAATACACCGAAGCAAGAATTTTAGTAGTACCTTGTACACAGTAAAAAAGAAATAAAATCATATTTATCAACGATACCAATACTTTTTATGTCTGCAAAATATAGAAATGTTCCACCAATAGTTATTCTGGTAACTTTTTAGATTTTCTTTTTTTTTTCGACAAATAGAGAAAAATGAAAATCTTTTGTGTAATTTGTATGGATTTAATGGGTTATCTTGGCAACAAGGGAAATAATTCGATTTATAATGCATTGTTCAGAATCATTTTTCGTTACCAATGATTTACTATTCTGTAACTAAATATTACTCCATATTTCCTCTCTTTTAACTTATCTTAAAAAATAGTCATACTCGTCAACACTTACTAGCCTTTTCCTTATCTTATCACATATTTTTATATCACTCATATTCTACGAAATAGATAAATTCCTACTTCATGGGTAAACCAATCAAATTTATCGTTTCTTGATATGTAGCTGCTAGGTAGCAACAAACTTACAATTTCAATAAGTTTATTTCTAAATCTTTATTATTTTTTTTTTTTAAATTAAATTATGGTTGCACTTACCTTAGCATACGGGTCTTTTGGTAAATTGACGTGCGATTTTATGGCCGATGCCAGTTTTACTGGTTGAGCAACCTTCGGTTTTACTGGTTCAGCAACCTTCGGTTTTACTGGTTCAGCAACCTTCGGTTTTACTGGTTCAGCAACCTTCGGTTTTACTGGTCGAGCAGCCTTCAATTTTACTGGTTGACCAGCCGCCGCGGGCTTCATGACCTTTCTTATTTTTTTCGGCGGTACTTTCATTTCCCCTACATTCTTTTTTACATTTGTTGATTTGGAGTCGGATGCCATCGGGTCTTTTCCGGACTCCGATAGGATATTGTCTTCGTCCGGCGAAAGCCAATCCGAGCAGCAGGACATCAAGTCGTCGGCTGACTCATTCTTGTTAAGGTCGGTTGTAGATGCCAACAAAGAAAACATCTCGAAAGTACAAAGAATTATCAGAAGTACTGATACAATATTAGAACAATAGTTATTGTTAAAATAAAATGTATTTAAACAAATATAACTATTGTAATAAAAGAAAAGTGTTTTTAATAGTAAACTAAAATAAGTATAGGTATGTGACTATACTATTATAAATATAATAGGCAGGTTAATTGGGAACGAATTTTAATACGTATTTAATATGTATTTTAATTTTAAACCTTTTAATAGAAAAATAAAATTTACAGAAACATGATTTTTTATTGGATCAAAGGTATTTGGTTTGATATTGAACACTACAATACAATAAAAATTGTTTGCATTTATTCGAAAATTTTCCTAGGAAGGGTTTTTTTTTTTAATTAGAAGTTTTCCCTACAATTTTTCATTTGCTGCTCTGTTCTGTCGATTGCTTTCCATTGATATAAATTTATTACACTTAAAACCCTATTTGAGTCGTCTAGTGTAACATTTTTTTTTCATACATTTCCTAATTTTCAAAATGCATTATATGCTGTTTAATTTTTAATTTAAAAATTGAATATACCTGAAAAACATTGTAAGTCTATTGGTATTCGTATACTAATACATAGTATGTACTGGGTAATACAGCTGCAAAACGGATGCAACGGATGCAATCCCTATATGCATTGGCATAATAAGCTAACAGTAAGAACAGTTATAATGGTTAGAAACCTACTTGATTCCACGATTATTATTAAGAATGGTTTTACTCAGTTTATGGTTTAATATTTTATAGAAACATGTTTGCTTAAAAAAATAAAATGATAACGTTTGTTAAGGAATGATTTCATGATAATATTACTACGTTATCAAATTTCTATTTGCTAACGTTTACAATGCAAACATACAAATCGGTATCTATATTATATTATTTGTATTATTTAAGTTGAATTTAAAATATCGTTACCAAGATGTAAAGTACCGATACAAAAAAATACTGAAAAATATTCAAGTTGACAAGTTAAGTTTATTTATTTCAAAATTGAAGAAGTCCATACCTAAGTTTCAAACAGGAGTGTATGTAAATTTAAAAGTGTATTTTATTGAAAAGTATACATCTACGATTTCTGTAGTCTACAGAAAATTAAAATTCATAATATTTTATGTATTTATGGAGAAGTTAAATCGGTGAGTTATTTGAAATAATTAAAGAAATAACAGTTTTTCACTTGTACCAAAAAAAAATCGTTTGTTTGGACATGAGATTTTGGACGACTCATATTTTCCTTGGAACAGTATCATCAGTGGTGTTGTGGAGCATTTGCGCTGTTTTAGGGCGTGTATTCATTTAAATTTGTCCGTCTCAAGCGTAGGTATACATATAAAAATATTCAGGACTACACCACCGAGTGAATTAATTGGTGTATACTAAGGTTTTGTAACAAACAAGGATTCTGAGTAGTTTTCTTCTATATTTCCAGACATACCTACGTCGCTGCAGATGAAGTAAATAAAAATGCACTTGCTGGTTGGTACTTGTGTATCGGTCGGAACATCACAAGTCACGGGTTTTATTTCTCATGTGGGACGGTTATAATCTGCGTCTCGTTTCGCTGTCAAGAATATTTTACAATGTAAACATGAAATTCGTACAAAGACACATACACGCAAAACAAAAAAAAAAAAAAACAACGCTTATTGATTATAAGAACTTTCTTTAAAGGACGACATTTTTGAATTGACCCCATCATAATATTGTTACCTACCTATTGCTGGTTTATACCTATACAGTCATATAAGAATAATTATAATAATTATTAATATTTCATTCAACGTCCATGAAGTTAACTCGGTAAATATTTTTCATTTAAATTTTATAATTATTTTCTTATATAATACACTTAAGAAGAGGTCAACCGGTCGATCAATATGTTCCGTATGGACGTGTTTTAAGATTTCGCCTTTGAAAATCCTAATTGAAAGTATCGAAAAAGAGTTTTATACAGATAATGAAATAAACTAGATTCTCAGCGAAGTAGTGCTGTATTGATCATAGTTAATTATTTCCTTATCAGTAGTTTTGTAATTTGATGTTTTTGCTCATGAACTACAATCAGAATCGTTTTTCATTAGCAATGGTTTATTCTCGGTGTAGATATAAATTAAATAACTTAATGTTTGCTACTTTCCCCACACTTTATTTTTAAAAAAATTTCTAAATTTCTATTAAATTATTTAATGCGCTGTTGCCATTTCAATAAACTCGACTATTACGTCATCGATTAAAATTAATACAAATCCAAGATTACGAATTAATTAAAACGATACAATAATAACATTTTGTAGATTGTATCTTGTTTACATCGGCGACGGTGGCGTTCAAAAATATTTCAAAAGACTATACGAATTAAATGGAATTGAAATGTTTATTGAAAAGAAACAAAAAATCCGAGTAAATTCATTCAAGTACATTTTCATTAATTCCCCAATACAGAAAAAAAAAAAAAAAAAAAATACATAAATAACAATAATAATAATCTCGATTATTTAATAAGCAGATTAACGTTAAGAACGAATCTCTGGAGAAGATGTGAACGGTTTAGTAATATATAATACGTATAATTCTTGTAATGTTTTTATTCATTCCTTTGCGAAAATTGTAAAAAGTTTTAAAGAAAACATAGTCTTTACAGAACCATTGTAAGCCGATTGGATAGCAGTGGTTTACAAGTAGATTATAGCATTGGACTATAACAACAATGACTTTACCACCTACAGTTTGAGATTAATTGAGAAATTCGATTTTCAATGGATTTGTTGTGCATAGAATTATACATATAATAATGATGAAATTGTTAATCGCGAGATAACCAATTATTTAAACGGACACCGTAGATACCATAGGAGAGGGTTCGAGAACCGTCTCGGGTTTTGACATATGATAATATTACTTTCTAAAGTAATTTTTCGATACACGCATTTCAAGTACACGTTTTCATTTCATCATGTCTGTAATGCCTACTTAGTATTATCATATCAGACGATCATATAGGAGTGCGCGGACATTGGCGTCAGAGTAACACTCGACAGCAGACAGGCTTTAGGTTAGGATTGTATTATTGGATATTGCGATTATTTATATTTTTTCACAGACATTTTATATAAAATCGGTGTTTTTCATTTATAAACGGATTTAAAACATTTATTTTGTCAACCAGTGTGTCGTCGTGGTAGCGAACCGTATACGCGCACTCTTTGTCGAAGATTTATCTGTATCTAATATTTGTACCGAACTAAGCAGACACTGCAAAAATTAGACGTAGCGATCTTTGTGTACAAAATCGATGGGAACACCGACCGCGGAGAGCCGGGGGAGCGTGCGGCGGCACTCGACCAAAACGCGCATCTGTTATCATTCAAAAATACGGATTTCACTGTATATTATAAACTTTCCGGCGACGGTTCTAACCGCGCGCGGTAACATTACGGTTTCGGCGAGTACAGGGTGATACATTTAATAGAACGGAAATTATTCCGTATAATCAAAGGTTTTTATAATTGTATTTCTTTTTTTTTTGTGAGGAAGGGGGCGGGGGTTGTGGTGTGGCGGGTGGGCAACGTTCTAGAACGATCCCATCTCAATAGTATTGTATATTGAATAAGGACGGTTTATATAAAATACCGGTTTTACGGGTGACACTGAACGATCTCGGGGAGAGCCGGAGGGAATGGCTTCGATCTCCGCTGGTACGACACGCCCGCGTTATCTCGGCCAAACTCATACGACTTTCGGCGGGAATTTCCGCCGTTCGACGTACGCTACGCGTCGCGCTCTGTAAAAATTCTCGGAATTTCGAGTAGAAATTTCCGACGCAACGCAAACGTCACCGTCGATGACAATACGATAGTATCCCGTGACTTGCTACGCGCACTTCCCGGGATAACGGCGGCGGCCCGGCACGCGGTGCGCGGACGCGCAAAAGCGTTCGCGAAACAATCGCGCTGTATTTGCAGCGTCGGAATCGAACTCCGCCGTGGAAACGGTCCAAGAGTATCGGCGACCCACCTCTCTGCCACTGCACCGCTCTATCGCTCTCACGCCTCGTGCGCAGGGGAAGGTATACGCGCGTCTATACAATATATATAGGCAATATATTACACGCGCACGCACACACACACGCACACACACACATACGTATGTATTATTATACGATTGCGAGAGTATATTATTATTTATGTAAAATTACGCGCGGCGACGCACTATTAAACGAACCGGAATACCGTCACCATCGTCACCCTCTGCCCGCACCCGGTGTACCCCGTCGCGCCACACCGGGTGCAGTCGTCTCGACCTGCGCGAAAATATTACAACACTACCGCGGCGCGCACGTAACGCCGGCACGATTGATGTCTTATTCGGAACGCGCATATCGGCGCGTACACACAGATCCACCTATACATAATATATTATTATTATACATATATATATATATATATCGTATGTATACATGTATATATGTATATATATATATATATATATATATATGCAAATGCGTGTGTACGTAATGCATATACGTATTCGTCACCGTGTGTACACAAAACACGTATATAATACCGTACACGTGTATGTATACAATATGGAAAATACTTTTACACGCGCCGTCCGCGGCCGTTGCGGCGGCGATACCGTCGGATTGATCGGATCGAGGGTGGCCCGTGTCGGGTGCCGTGCGACGGCCGCGGGTCGGCAAAAGTTCGTTTGCGTATATTTTTTTTTTTTTTCCCCCCCCCCCCCACCGTCCCGTCCCGTCCCGCCGCGTCACGTTCCGGCGTGTCGTAATATTTCGCGGCCTCCAAATGCCCGCGAAATATTACGAAAAACGCGCGGTTTACGTTAAACAAAGGGTTTTGCCTTTTATCGCGACCGTGTAAACGAAAGAGACGTGGCCCGTATCGCAAGGTCGCCGAGTGTTCCGAACGTCAATTTCACGGGCGTGGACGCGGCGGAGGGGAGGGATACGGGGGACGGATCCCCGAATGGTTTTTTTCAAAAAAAAAATCTATTTCTCTCCGACGGTTATTTTCATCGACGACAGAAAAATTGATTAACCTAATGTTTTCAATTTTCATAAAATCGTTTCATTTCATTTTTGAATTTAATCGAACTCATAGTTTTCTAGTCATTCGACTAAAGTCTTTACTAGAATCGACTACACTGGGACCGTTACTAATTAACATTCTGTGCATTTTTAATGCAACATGAATTCATAGACTTGCTTCAGGAACTCGGCTGAACATTATTCCAATGTAAACTCACTCATCACAGACACCGATATATTTTCAATAAAATGTCGTCTAAAAATGGCATCTATTTTACCTTTGGTACCTTTGAAGTACGGATGATATTTCAAGATACCCGCCAGAAAAATGATGACAATCCTCCATTGACCTATTCGGTTCGTAAAATTTCGGTTTCTTACTTTCCGCGTAATTTTGTCCATAGTTAGGAAAAGCCGGGAAAAAAAGTACCAAAAACGGTTTACGACGTTAAGGGGCCCGGTGCCGGTTTTTTAAATTATCTCCTTGTATGAAAAATTTAAAAATGATTTTTAACATTTGAATTACCACGATAAGGATAATATATTTTCACTAGTACTTACAGGAAAGGTTTGTGACACTTTTATTCACTAAAACTACTATGCGGGAATAGGGACAACTTCATTGTTAACATAGTATTTTTCTACCATTTTGTTTTTGCATGATAAACAACGTCGTGCAGCTCAAGCCGAATTTCGGTTTTTTTTTTATAATTTAAAATAATGTTATACACAAGATAGTAAAAAAAAAAGTTAAAAGTTGAGCTTTTTTTTTTTTAAGGCGTATTATAGAGTTTGAGAAAACAGAACGTAACGCGAGCTGTTTGACGTGTTTTTTTTCTAACCAAAAAAAAAAAAAACCGTTTCAATTGGATTACTCTCCAAGGCACGGGTACATTACTCGTATCGTTTGCACGTTTTTAAAACGGAAATCGAGTTGGCGCCGGGCCCCTCCTTCACGCGGCGAATTACGTTTTAACTCGATTAAAAATTATCATAGACACCTGATATTTTCCAGACTCGGCATAATTCACAAAGCATTCTGACTACGATCTTTAAGTAATTAATGTTCAGACATTTTCGGGGTTATGTTTGAACCCAAAAATAATTGTTCGGCCGATCCGAAATGCCTGAAAATTTAATTCGAGGTACGAGGTACGAGTCAGTACTTAGCGATCGGAAAAAAAAAAAAATGGAACGTAATGAAGTGTTTTTTTTTTTTTCTAAGAGTTTTAAGTAGAAACGTCGTTGACGAAATCATAAAAAAAAAAATGAGTAAACGTTTAAAAACACGCGCGCATAACCGGCCGTCGTCCGGATTGAACGATTGAACGATTTTTACGTATCGTACCCGCCGGACGTTACACCCGCCACGGAGTCTTACCGATTGGCGGTACACGATTTCGTAACCGCGCGTCTTTGTAACGGTTTCGCTTTGGGAAAAAAAAAAAAAAGAAAAGGTAATCGGTCGAACACGTTCGCGGACTCGCCGGGAATTTCCGTTGGCCGGACGTAAAGTCGCGGCGCCGTCCTCCGTTCGATCGCTTCGTCCCCGGCCCCGAAATTTTCCGAAAAACACGAAGGTCAGGTTGGGATAGGTCGGGTTTCGGGCCCGCCGAAGACGCGCGGTTGTCGCGCGGCGACGGGTTAGCCGGAGGCGCGCGCGTGCACGCGCGAATACCGCGCTGGAGAACCGTGTGTTCGTCCGCCGCGACTTTGCCCCCGGCCCCGCACCCCCGCCGCGATCTATACGAACCGCCCGCCGCCGCCGCCGTACCGACCGCGCCGCCGCCCGGTCTCGGCGTATCGGCCGCCGCCGCCGCCGCCCACTATCCCGCCAGTTTCCGAGCAACCTTTCGACCGGTCGGTACGGTGTTTGCCGCCATCGCCGCCGCGCCGTTTCGTTTTTTCGCCCGTTATTCCGTCGTCGGGTAAGCGCGCCGCACGGAACGCGCGCGCACACGACACGCCGGACGCACCGACGCCGTTTCGCAAAAGTCGAAATCTTATCGCGTTACACGCACACACGCAAACGCACATACACACACACACACACACACACACACACACACACACACACAAAAACCGCACACCACACACCTCGTCGTCGTCGTCGCCCGCGAAAAACGCGAACGTTTACGCGTAGTTACGGCGGCGCGCGTTGGTCGCCCGGTACCGTACACCTGAAATACCGGCGGCTGTTACACCTGTCCGGTTTGTGCGCCCGCGGTTTTTCGTCTCCTTTCCCGCCTCCGTCGGAATCCGCTTTTCGGTCGCCGTCTCGCGGTTCTCCGGTGCGACCCGCGTTCCCGATTGTGCCGTGCGAATGTTTTTCGACGACGTCGTCGCCACCGCCGCAGCCGCCGCCGCCGCCGTCGCCGCCGCAGACGTTGGCCGCCCGACAACACCTTACGACCGTCGCGGTGAGTGCGCGCCGCCTAACACCCGGCCTAACCTATTTTTCGCCGTTCGCATTCGTCCGAAAAACCGCCGGACGACCCGCGTAAACGGCCTGGCGCGACCGCGCGAGGGGTGCGTGATTATTACACCGCGCCGCACCGTGGTTCTCGTGCCTGCGCAGTCGTCACGATTTTGGGGGGAAATTTTGGAAAACGGTTCGTGCCCGCCCCCCGCCGTTCTTTTTCACTCGGGTGAGGGGGGGCGGGGGGAGATCTAATAATTTTTCGTTTTTCAAACGCGTTTCGTTAATGTCGCGCGGACGCGTAGACGTACGAGAATTCCTCGGGTACGGACTTTGCGGGATCATCCTCCCGCTAACACTGTCGCGTTCGTTTTCGATTTTTTCGCCGATTCGACATCCGCGAAACGTTTACGGCCGTCGGGTCTCCCGTGCATGCGTGGTCACGTTCGGCGTTCCGAATGCGACCGGTGCGCGTCGTAATCCGGTTTGAAACCGCTCGAGTCGCCAGTGGTTCGCCGAAATGTTCGACTGCCCCCCCCCGATCGTTCTCGTCCTAACGGAAGACACGTGAGTTCCGGACGGTCCTGGATTTTCGGGTACAGATATTCGTATGCGGGTTCCCCGCGCCGAATATTCCGCGTATTTTCAATTTTTTTTTTATTTTTTCCGAACCAGTCCGCCGAACGTTTTCAAAACCGCTCGGATCCGGGCGCGACACCCGTACACGCGCCCGGTTCACGGCGTTTCCCGGCGGTCGGTACGCGACGCGCGACCGGTCGCCGCGGCGCGTTCCGTAGCCGCGTCAAGTCGCCCGAGCTCGACCGCGGTGTTCGTTTTGGGTTCTTTCGCGCGCGCGTATTTTTCACCGGACCGCTCGGAATACTCTTGCGCGGAACACCCCGAAAGCATTCGGCCCGGGTCCGCGCGAACGTCGCGATCGGCCGTTCTCTGACGCGCAGACGATCGGAGACGCGCTCGTTGTTTAAACGCCCATCTCCCCCCCCCCACTCACCCCGTCCGAGTTCCCGCAATCGCCACCGCAATGTCGCCGTGGCCGGCAAAAAAAAAAAAAAATTGATAATTTTACACGCGCGCGCGGTTACGATGACGCCGCACGTCGTAACGCGTAATGAGCGCGCCGCCGTGTATGGGTCGGTCGTAACTCATGAAACTTTTGAAACGGCCGAAATCGGGGACGCGCGTATATATAATACATAAAAAAAAAAAAAAAAAACATTTTCGAAAGAATAACGACGCTGCTAAGGGCTACATTGAAGTTTGTTATTTTTATTTTTTTATGGATTTGCAAGTAGTATTAGTTTCGCATTTAAAATATATTCTGTATAACTGTAGGTACTTAATTTTTCTTTTCCTTATTTTTTTTCGTTCTCCGCGAACTCGATAAACTTTCCCGGTAACGTTCTGCGATTCGTGCGCGGACACCACTATAATATTATAATACGTACATAATAAATACGCATGTTTTATGTATTTTCTATGTTTCTCGTTTCAAATTCGATTTTCGAAAACGCGACACCGCCCGACAGTACTCGTACCGGTCCTAATTCGGTCAGTAAATATTGTAGCGTCGATTATTATTATTATTATTTTTTTTTTTTCGTTTCCGTAATATTGAGAGGACGTCATACCGGCACGTACTGTCCAACTACCGGGTCATATGACGCGAAAAACGACGAACGAATAACGAACAATGAGTAAAAACTGGCTTAATTTTGATTTTAGCGTAATAGTGATGAAATTTGTATAGGGCAATATTTCGGCGAGCTTTTCGTTGGGTAGTGGTATTTTTCGAAAACATTCAGCTCAATAGAAAATGTACAAACGCGCCAAGTTTTCTAACTGTCCGTAATTCAAGAGACACCTACGAGGGAATGCTCCTAAATATTGTTCTCTATACATTTCATATTTAGGTACTTTTACTCTGAAATCGAAATCAAGCCAGTTTTACTTATTCGTAGGCATTGGTTTCGCACGTTACCGGGTAGTTGGACCGAGATAAAAAATATTTATGACAGGTCGTAATCGTTGGGTTAGGCGTATTGTACCGGTAACGTAAGCCGGTTTAAATTTTCGGCGGTGCGGTGAAACGTTCAATATTTTCCGGCCCACTAATATTCAAAACTCATTTTTCGCCGAATCCCCGCCAAATGGACGATCAATGCCCCATTTAACCTAACCTAAACGATTTTTTTTTTTTGCGAAAATCGAAAATCCGTACCTATCGGGCAGTTCAAACGGCGAAAACTTTCTTAGTTATTAAACGTTATTGATGAAAAAAAAAATAAAAAAATACGCGAGCTTAGCTGGATGGACGTTGAATGCCAGTGGATCTAATTCACGTGATTTCGCTTGACGTACCCGCCGTACCCATTTAGTTTTGCCTAATCCTTTGTATGCGCCGCCAAACTGTCACACACAGTAGCCGATCCCACCTCATAAAATTATATCGCAATGAAAATAAGAATTCGAAGACTTGCTAAACAACAAATTTTTTCCTTTTCAATATACGAGTGTTTAAATTGATAAAATATTAAAACTAATAAAACCGATAGTTTTGATAAATTCGACGATGGACGATCTTTAATAGGAATAATTTTAAAAATCTGACCGTTCGGAAATAACTTTTTTTCTTACACAATATCACGAGAATAGCAAAAAAAATAAAAAAAAAAAAATGACGGACACACTTCGCACGATGAAGGCCACTGTTATTGGCGACAAATCCGAAAGGTATGATACAGAGGGGAATTTAACGTATATCTGTATGCAATCATTAATCATTTCAAACAACGATAAACGATTCTGAACGCAGTTCAGTTATACGTGATTTGAAAGGCCGCAATATTTGCGATTATCGTCAAAATTTGAACTAAAATTTTTCCGTAAGAAAAAAAAAAAAAATTCTATTACATTATTATACAGAGTACTACTCTCAATGAATATCCTGTAAATTTTCCAAGCATTTCCGTTTGGTCCAACAATTTTATCTACAGATTGTTTAGCGAACACAAATTGCATAAAAACGTCGCAAAATTAAAATGTCTATAAACAGCTAAAACAAATAGCTCAAAGGTTTTGAAAATTTCACCACGCCCAGAAATGGCCACACGTAAGTTTTTATCGAAATTTCAATTCTCTACGGATATTTTTCAGCGGTCTTCAACGAAAATAACAATAATACGTTTCGCAGATTACCCCGTTTCCTTTGGTTTTTTCCGGATTGTCGCGAAACCCGGACATTTGGGTTTACATCGCCGTTCCGTTTGAGACGTAGCGGCGCGAGCGTTCCGGTTCGCCCGGGCGCGCCAATAATTGCGCGCCGCGGCCGCGTCGTTTCGTTCTACCGCGTTTAAAACCTCGCGTCTTCGCCGTCACCGTCGTCGTCGCCAACCCCAAACAGTGCGGTAAACGGGCTCGGTAGCCGGTCGAGTCTTTCGAAACGCACGGCCCCCGCCCCCGCCCCCGCCCCCCCCCTCACCGTTCGATTGAACCGTACAACAGAACCGCGCGTCCCGTCTCGCCGCGGCCGGGTGACCGCGACGCGACGTCTCCGCGGTAATGGGCGAAAAACCCCGCGGACCCCACGCAACCGCGGTCGAATCCGGTAACAAAGACGTATTAATTAGTTCGGCCGTGACATTCGCCCCGCGTGTGTGCCGACCCGTCCGGGCCGCCGTTAGCCCCCTACGCGTAGTGCAATAATTATCGTTATCCGTCCTTTGCGCCCTTTGCCGGACGTCGCGTAGCAATTAAAAACTGCAAAGCTCGTAAACGGCGGCGTCAGGAGCGGTTACCTCCCGCCGACCGTTTTTCTGTTTTCTCTCTCTCTCTCTGTCACTCTCTTTTTCCTACCGCGACGGCGCGTCGGCTAACGCGGCAAACGCGAGCCGCGATATTGTTATTCAAATACTTTGAGAAAAAATTCTAAATTACATTAAATGTTCGTTTCGCCGTAATGTACGACTCGTAACGAACGTCCTGTTAAATTTTCAAACGTTTCTGTTTTGGTCCAACAAATTTTTGTCTACAGAAACACGGAGTGCCTCCGAATAAAAATGACGTAAAAAACTCATTTAATGAAAACGACAATAAACGTCTCAATAATGACTCGAATGTTTTGAAAATTTTACCACATCTAATAAAGGCAAATATATTTTTTTTGAAATCTCTACGGACATTTTTAACTGAATTACAACAAAAACAAAATTGAAAATAATACATTTAGTAAATTTTCCAATTTTTCCTTCATTTTTTTCTCATTTTTCCCAATCATGATACAATATTTTACTAGTCGCGATCGAGGATCAGAACTTTTACGTAACGTTATTCGCGGGTTTTTCGTTGGCGAGGCCGGACTAGTAGTGGTACCGCATAGGCGCAACTATGGCGGTGTTAGGGGGTTGTAAGCGCTCCCAAAACTAAGCTTTTTCTTACAGTGTCTACTAAATATGAAGAACAAAATACAGATTATCTGTAGACATTCTGTGTGTGTGCGGTATAAAAAAATCGCGAACCAAATGTGTAGTCGTCGCGTAAAAAGGATCGTCCGGCCATCGCTCCCGTGGGTCTGTGACGTGATTATAATTTCGGCACCCCCAAAGTAGATGGTCTCGCTACGTTCGACTTTTCTAAAACCAAATATTCGGACAATCGAAACGGCAAAACGTGAATGTCCCCGACGTTTGTATATTTCCCGTGTTCGGATTCCTGTACCGGCTTTCAACCCGGTTTTTTTTTTTTTTTAAATTTTAATTTTTACCGTGCCCGTGAGATAAACTTCACGGTGGACCACAATCGTATAGTGTACAATTCGAACTCGGTTCCTAGCTAAGTTTTGAGTGGTTAATTTTTGTTCAATCGTTCTATCGCCCGAATAATTTTAATTTTACCTTTTACGCGCGATCGATCGTAAAAGACATCTCTACAATAGTTGATACGTAAATATTACGTATAGACAAACGTACGAATACTCGAATAGCACTTGTACAGTCATCCGAAATTCGCGGATATTCGGACTGTACGATTATCCGAATTTCCGGATGTACTCAGATTACGGGTGTCCGAATTAATTTTTATCCGGACATTAAAATATCCGAGTATCCGGATGGTTCCGACACTGTGATGTCATTATGATACTGGCTATAGAAGCAGGTACACGCGTATATAGGTTGACCACCGCGCGCGTCTACAATTAATATTTTAATTAATTACGCCCACACTGGGTTTCCGCGCTGGCGAGCGTATAATTTCATGTTGTTTTTTTTTTTTTCCGGTTGTTAGTTATTTGTCACCGAATTCTCTTATTGTAAAAATAATATTGCGGATCGTAAATATGCATTTATTTAAATGATAACACAAACGATTCAAATGCGTAGTTTCGTCCTTTAACTCCTTTAACGGCTATGCAGAACGGACATTAAATGTTATTATACGTTACGAGATCAAATATGAAGTTTGAGAGGTTTTTTTTTTTTCCTGATATCAATAGTTAAAAAAATACGGACGTACTTCGCACGTGAGCGCAAGAAGGTAGAATGCAGACGAGAATCGAATGTATATCTGTAAGAAACGATAAACCATCACTAACGAAAAAACGATTCTGAGGGCAGTTCAGTGTTGATAGTGTTGCTTGTCAACAATATACGTGTCATATTATGGTAAAATTATTACGACAATGTGCATTTCCATGACAATAATGATTGTTCAAAATATATTTAAATAAATAAAAAAAAAAAAAAAAATTAAAAACGTTTGCCGATAACAATCTTATTTTTAACCTTTCAATCTATTTTTACCTAAAGAACCAGGTTTTCCTAATTATCTCGAACGTTGATGAGAATTTCAAAAAATAACCTCTTTAAAGTATTACGCAGAGAACATTTCCTTTCGGTAAAGTTGCTATACTTGATAATCAGAATATGATTTCTGGTAGAAAAAGTGTTCACATAAAAAAACAAAATGAAAAAAAAAAAACATCATTGTAAAATCAATACATTCGTCGCTCCACTCAAAATCTAAAAAAAAAAAAAATGAAAATGCTTTTAACTAGTTTTTAAAATACTCGTTAAGTACATAAAATGTTTTTCGGGCCATACCTGTAATGAAGTATTTTAAACGCTTTTTTTTCGGCGATTTTAAGTGCTACATAAGTCCCGAGAATCCCGCGGTTACAACATTATAATATTACGCGTGTATATCTGCCTGTGCACGTTTCGAGTTTATTTTCTATTGAGTCACTGATTGAATTTCGTATATATTTTATTTACCTCTCGGATCTCTAGAGGCAATTTAAAAATAAAATAAAACCCATTTATATAACTATCTCTCGAGAGTGTTGTGTCGTTTACTTCGGCTCCACTCTCCACCCTCCCACCCCCATCACCCCCCGGACGCGCAACCGAAGCTGTTACGGATAATAATTGAACCACTAGTGACCGAGCTATATTATTATATTCGTAAAGGGAAAGGAAAGGAACCGTAGGAACTGTCACCACTCGAATAAAAACTTTTCGGAATACGACTTAATGTTTTTACGAAATTATTATTTAATCGATTGTAAATATAACGGCATTCACGGACAAATAAATTCATATTAAAATGCTTTAAATATTCAATTATAGTTTTGAAAAATGTTATTCGTTCGAAACCACGACGAGACTCGCGTGTAAAATGTTTAATCATTTCTACTCGACCGAAACAATTTTTAACACTTTTGAAACCCGAATGAAAACTCGAAAGTAACAAATTGCCGGTACGTTCGCCTGTAAAATCCTCTAGAATATTTTGAAACACGTCTAGGAAGGCTAGTTTGAATAGTCTGTGAATATTTCTGGTCTTGACGATCGTTCGTAACCGAATTACGACGAATAACAAAATCGAATACAGGTAACGAAATCGTAATCGTTGCAATCTTTTTTGCGGTTTTATCAATATCGTTAAGAAAACTGATTGTGAAATAAGAAATTACCGCTCAATGCACTGAGCAGATGAAAATTCTTTTCGGAATATACACTACATTTGAAAATCGGATTAAGATTTCTGGTGAAAAAAACTTGTTCACGCACGAAACAAAAAAAAAAAGGAAAAAAACACACATCATACAATACGTTCCTCGCTTCGTTCAGCATCTCAAACTTTTTTTTTTTAAAAAAAAAAAAACGTTATTTTGCAAAGTATTTTTTTTTTTATTATTATTATTATTATTAATATTTTGTATCTCGGCGTTTCCCCGGCCGTTCTAAAAGGCCGTTTACCTGCCTACGATTAAGGTGTCGTTACACATTTTAAAATGATTAATAACACGCGCGCGCGTTCTAGAAACAATTTCGAGTATAGTGTTGTTTTACAGTGTGTGGGTAGGTTTTTTTTTTGTTTTCTTTTTTTTTTTAATTTCTACCAACGACCGAACTTTTGTATATTTGCAAATCAAATTTTTGTTCGAAAACTTTTACGGGGTTCGCGCGGCGTATAGTGTGCACGACTTAATATATTCAATAGAAAATTTAAGTACCTATGTATGTAATCACGACGCCATTTCAACGTGGAAAAAAAAAGCGCTTTATATTAGATAATAATATACAGGGTGTTCTACATCCTTATGCTAATAATTCTATTGATATTGGTTTTTTTTTTTACATTTTTCTTTTTCAATCTGGTTTTGTGCGAGGGGGACACGCGTGCGTAGAGAAAAATCGAATTTTTATTTTCATCACTTTTTATTTTATCACATTTCAAAAGATAATATTCTAAACGTTTGAACGTAACATATGTTTAATGAAATTTAATTTTTCTCCACATAGGAAACAAACAACGAAACAATCATTACTTACGAAAAACCGATTCCGAGCGGATTTCAGTTGATAGTGTTGCTTTGTCAACAATATGTATGCCATATTATTAAAATGATTAAAACAATGATAGTTTAAAAAAAGATAACAATAATAAAAACCTAATAAAAACAAAAATAAATGAGAACGCTTGATAATGACAACCTTATTTTTAATCTTTTTTAACGTAAAAAACCAGGTTTTCCCATTATCTCGGATATTAAAGAGAATTTTAAAGTACCATCCAGAGAACATTTCCTTTCATAAAGGGTGCTATACTTGATAATCGGAGTACGATTTTTGGCAAAAAATGTGTTCACATAAAAAAAAAAAATAAATAAAAAACATCACAAAATCAATACATTCCTCGCTCCACTCAGAATCTAAAAAAAAAATAATAATTTTGCAGACAGAGTTATTAGCGTAATGATAACACTTTAGGACACCCTGTACGGGTATATTATACCTAATGAATTCAAGTGCATTTGACGTTAAATTTGTATTCCACTTCGTTTTAAAATAAAAAAAATAAATAAATAATAATGGTAACGTCTCGGTATAAATTACAACACACATACGAAATCAAATCGAATGATATGTCACCCGAACGGTTTTGCAACGGCACTATTATTATCCTTAAAGTGTGATTTTTTTGTTCTTCGAGAAAAATAACGCGTTGTCGAAAAACCGATAGTTTCGCCGCGTGCCGTCCCGAACCCTAATGCATAAAACGTGATTCACTCAGCCGGCCGGTTACTATCGATACAAATAATTTCGACGATTTTTCAGTTTTTTTTTTTTTTGTTTCCAACCCCGTGTGACAAGTAATAACGTAACGCGACATCAATCGTTTTGTACCGAAATAATTCGCCTCGGAATCTCCGGATTTCACGTGATTATCCTCTTAAATGCGCGTAAATTCAATTATATCGGTTTCCGGAATCGCGGGAACCGACCGACACACACATACACTACACGCACTAAACTCTCATGAATTGTATTTTATTTTTATATTTCTCTCCGGCCCTCTCGGCCATCTGAGGCCAAAGGGGATTTCGACCTCGGGCCACGGGCAGTGTACGTTTAGGATTCCGGCTGTCAGATAAATGATCGTACTATAGTCCTATTACCAGTGGCGGTCCGAATCGGTACCATTTATTAACACGTCAACACTAATAAAAAAAAAAAAAATAAAAATAATAATAAAATAAAATACGAATGAAAAATGAAAACGTGCAAAGACAATGGCGAGACTATGATTTTTAAATGAAAAACGTGAGATCCTGCGGTTTCGGCCGCAAATATACCGACTGTATTATACTTTTATAATATTTTGTTTAATTCGTTTTTTTCTTTCGTTCGCCGATCCGTGCGAATTTAATAGCACTGTAATGCCTTAAAAAAAAAAAAAAAAAAAAACTCGCATTTTGAATCACTCCGAAATGCAGTATAAAATGCAATATAAATTCACTCGGGAAATTCACTGTACACTGTGTATACGTGTCGCAATTAATGACCTCGTGATTGGCCTCGTCTTGTCGAATCGTGATGAATTGAACGTCGTGCGTACATACTCACCCGCATTATCGTAGCTCGTGTAAAATATTTTAAAACAAAGATGTAAAATATAAGCCTGGCGTGCGGACAACTTGGGCAAATTAAAAAGTATGAAATCCGCGTAAAATTGTACGGAAATGACGTGGCACAATGTGAAAAACCGTTCTGAAAAATTAAAAACGTCAAAAAAACGAGATACGAAAGTTTGACGATATTGCAGAATTCGTCGTTACAGATGACTTTGTGTTTAGAAAGCTTACGTTTCGGGGTGTACAAATTGTTCGCTTTCATATAAACGCACAGCACCAGTGCGACAATTAGTAGGTATACAGATAGATGCTGCACAATAAATTTCTAATCGGAAAGCTATTCGGAAAATTCGAACGTTTTCCCGAAGTAAAATTACATTTACGACAAATAGGTGAAAATAAATGTTGTAAATTTAGAGAACCCGGTCCGCGGCTTTTTCCGTTTTGGTCATCAATCATTTGTCGTGCGCGGGTCATTTATTTTCTTCCCGGAAGAAGTGCAAAAGTTTTTAAAACCACAAATACTTGTCCGAAAAGAAACAAAATGACCATACATACACACGCACACACTTGCCACAATTCGGTCAGTCGGTATGTGTGTGGTATATATATATATATAAAAAAAAAAGAAATATCAAAACGAAGAAACCATTAAACCCGCGTTTTTAATTTCTCCGAGTTAAATCTAATAAATGGATATTAATATTTATGGTAAACCGTTTCGGGTTTGTGGAGTCGTGTAATGACAAATCGAATATTTGTTTAGGTAATAATACGGAAATTATTTGTAAAAAATAAAAAAACTCAATTATTTATGAATTATAATTTATTTATTTTTTTTTTTTTTGTAAGATTAAATAATTTCGTAGTAATATGCAGTAATTTGTTTCACTGTAATGTCATACGAAATTTTCCAGCCGCGGCTTCTTGTAGATTGACACCGGAGGTTACTTTACTGTATAAATTTCGAATCAGTTTTCGAAATTTTAATCCTTGCCGCGTTAAACTTTTATTTTCTCGAAACGAAGTAGATACTTTTTTTTTGCAGTTTGATAAATAATTCCGTGATCGACAGTGTTGGAAATAGATAATGTAAAATATATATGATATAGATAAAAGAAAATATTTGTGAATTAAATCTAAATAAAGATAATAGATAAAAAAAATTGGAAATATCTGGATAATCATAAATGATAATTGCATTTTTATCTAGATGAAAAAATAGACATTAAAAAAAAATGTAATTTGTTTATATATAATTTTAGCTGATGAGGTTTTTTTTTTTTTTATGTATAAATAATTGGTCGAAATGCCCAACGTCGGTGTCAAAAAAATGCTTCATATTAAAATTATGATTATTTTAATTATAAATTAATAATTATAATATATCATATAGATAATTTAAAATGCTCGCTAGTGTAACGGGGACCGGTGCATCTACCGTTATGGGCATTTCAATGTATTTCTTTTTTTGCAAAGATTAACCATCGATAAAGAAAAAAACGATTCTGATCGGAGTTCGGTTGACAGTAATGTTTTTTCAACAATATTTATGCCATGCTATGATATCGCTGGGGAATATCGTTAAAAAAACTATACGTTTCTTCCCCGTCGTTTCCGGACTTTTCCGGTTTATAGACGCCCGTGTTCGTGTTGCCGTTACCGAACCAACGGACACTGTGCTGCAATGCCAATCGAAATGTTTGCACAACAATGTTGTTCTGTGATATCCGTAATGCGATGGCAATACGGTAAAAGGTTTACGCAATTACGATATTGCGCCATTTTCTATCGCAATGCGCACCCCGTGATATTAAAATATAAATTATTATCCCGTGGTACGGCGTTCGACGTTTTTCGTTCGGGTTTTTTTTTTTTTATTATTGTCGCGCGCGTCGCGAATGATAACAACATAAGACACGTGAAACGCGGCCAAAAATTACATGTTATACCGTATAACGGGTCGGCGCGTGGCGTAAAATATTACAGTATCCACACAGCGCGGATCCCGAATTACACGCGAAAATATCGAACGCGAGATGCATTTGAAAAATATAAAAAAAAAAAAAAAAAAATTTTAATATTAATATATTTTTTTCCCCGGTTAAACTGTGCGTGTACACACGCGTTTTTATGTCGATCGGTAAACATCTGGAGTGTAAAATCGGGAACGTGAAATTCTTGAAAATACAAATCGGTAGAGTACAAATCCTCGGTTCCGGGGTTCAATAGCCGACGAAATTTTTCCGCTTTTAATTTTGGATCGGAGGAATGTAGTGGTGGAGTATCGTTCGTGTGGCGGTACGGCGCGCGGCGTGTTAATAATGCGCCACGACTGGTGGAATAACTCGTCGGCGGATTGACGGAAATCAATCGTCTCAACGGCAAAATTTATTTTTAACTAATACTCCATTTATTTATGAAATTTTTAGTATTGGTCGCCGTTTTAAAAACAAACGTGGGCAGTGGTTTTATCCCCGAAAATAAGGGTGACGAACAAACAGCGTAAATATAAAATCGTAGAAAAGCTTGTTTCGTAAATATCCTAGAAATCGAATTCCGGAAATATTTAAAAATTTTCAGGGTGTCTTACCATATGTTGATCACTCTGTGTATATAGAAATCCAGATTTTTTTTATTCGAAGCCGATGACACTGAGTGTTCGTGAACATTATTTTCCAGATTTCTACATTCCGGACTTTTAAAGTCCAGGTGTTTACGGATTATGTTTCGATATCCGTAAAACCGTGGATTCTTGATGTGTATTTTTCAGATTTTTACGTGTACCCATGTCAATTTTGTTATATTCCGACGCCGACGGGGTAAATTGATTATACGAAAACAAAAAAGGAGAATACGTTATAAACGCGCGTGGGTATAAACCGTTAAAGTTTCTAAAAAAAAAAAAAAAGACTGTAAACGCGTGTACGAGATGATTCAACGTACAAATGTGTTTCGTGGGGAAAAAAAAAATGGAAAATATTAAGAGGACGTTACACGGCGTGCGTTTCGGAGTGCGTCTGTTTTACTAGCAGACGATACAGACAATTTTTCGTTCAGCAGAATCAATTGGCGTGCGCTAAACGTTAATGCATTACATTGAATTTACCTTTTGTCAAGACCCCGAAACGCAGAACGTTATTATTTTCGTGTCTGTACGTCTTTTTTTTCTCGGTATCGTAGTTTTTAAATGAGATTCGAACGTTTTAAATTCGATATTTCACACACAGGCACGCCTCGCGTGTTATTATCTCGTTTGAAAAATAGAATAACGAACAAAAAAAAAAAAAAACCAACGTACACGGACAAAACGAGTTTAGTTTTAATATATCAGGGTGAATGTTCGCATCGAAACCCAGCACCCGAGAACATCGTATTTTGCGTCCGTGCGTATAGGTATTTCTAGGTATTATAATTTTTAAGCGAGATACGAACGTTTTCAAATTAGATGTTTCGTACGTTCGTAATGTCTCGGTTGGAAAATAAAAACCGACGCGTGCAAACACAGACGAAACGTTTTTGCCTTTAAGTTTGATAGTAAGTTCAATAGACGCTACTATTAAAATTAGTTCTGCTGAACGCAAATTGACAAGACTCAGACGACAAACGCGCGCGTACCCTTAACGTAAACACGAAATTTCGTTTCTTTGATATCCGGTGGATTTTTCGACAAACCGCGACCGACATTAATTTATAACGTTAATGTTTAATTACGTCGATTCGCAGAATTATGTTTCTGGTTATTTTTCGATACGATTACGAGTTTCCGCGGAAGTTTTTGGGGGTTGTTATAGTCTCGCGGGGTTTTTTTTTTTTTTTTTTTTTTTTAAATCCAGTACTCTAAAGTTTACGTCAATTTTCGAAATCACGTGCAGGACATTAGATAGATTTCTACCGCGGTAAATCATTTTTCTTACGAAAAACTTGTGCGACCATAGTGTTTCTTTCGTCTTATTTTTTGTTATTTTTCCGTTTATTTTCGATTTTCGCGGATTTACACCGGGAAAATCCGGAAAACCCCTATATTCTAAAGAAACAGATATGTGTTCAATAACGTATCTATACGTTTTCTGCAGCGATAAGAAATTTTGATTGTTTTTTTTTTCGTTTCACATCAAAAGAAGTTTTTCGGAAACAAAAAGCAATCAATTAATACGACCTGGAAACTAATAATCGCATCGCTGAGGACCCATAAAAAAATTAACGAGACGAAATAATCACAACGTTATTAATTAATATCGAATTTTATAATTTATACAGTCAAAGTTATACTGGCGTTTAGTACGTTGATTTAATCCGCTCCGGTAGAAATTGTTCCCGAACTTTAATCGATTCGCCATCTAATAATTGTGTACTTTTTTTCTCGCGAGTTTTCGAAAATTCTTAACGGTATGGTAAAACTTTTCCGTGTGGCGAATATTCACTATAAATCATACTATAGGTGACGTAAAATTAAATAAACAATATTTTAATTTTTTGTTCAGAGTTGAAATGGTTTATTATGTTTTTTCTTATTAAATAATATTATTCATTGTAAAAGTTAACTTATACCTTTCATTTTTTTTTTTTATTATTTTTTTTTTTAATCAGTTGAAAGAAGTGTTATGTTTTTTTGTTTTTTTTTCCTCAATGACTTTTTATAACAACACTTCACACACTTCACAACTACTATACTTTTCTTAAACGTTTTTAATTTTAATAAAACGATTATTGATTTTTTTCGAGAATTCAATATTTATAATAAAAAAAAAAAAAAAAAGAGCAAGAGAGAACAAGATTAACGATATATATTTGATAGATTGATGTAAAAGTTTTAACGCGCTAATAATTAATAAAAAAATTATTTAAACTATATCATTTAAGATTTTGAGTGTAGCGAAGTGGTTTTACTAAGATGTTTATTATTATTTTTTTATTTTTTTTCAAGAAATCTCGATCAGAAATATACGTATGGCAACATTTCTGAAAGGGAATATTCTCCAGATGGTACTTTCGTGGTGGTTTTTTGATTTTACAAGCAGTTTTCATAATATCTGGGAATAACCAGGATAAAACGTAAGAAAAACGGGAAATTTACGAAAATAATGTTTTTTTTAATTTTTCGGCCTTCTTTTTTCCTGTGAACTTTACTGCCAGCAGATTTGCTCCGATTTACAACAATAGCACTTCTTCGAAAATTTAATCTGACTGTGAAGACACTTTAAGGAGGTCAATTTTCGATTTTCCCAAAAGTTTTTCCAGCGAACGTGAAAAACCGATAAAAAAAAATGCGAAAAACGGGAAAATCGGTACTATATTAAACAAATATTATTCAAGAAAATACATAATACCTTTTTAATTTTTTTACCACAACATGACATATATATATATATTGTTGAAAAAGCATCACTATTAACTGAACTTCGCTCAGAATCGTTTTTTCGTTAGCAATGGTTTATCATTACTTACAGATATACATTGGATTACCTATATCAGTAACTGCACCCGTCTCCATTATCTCAGGATGTATTTTTGTTACTTGAACTTATACTCGTAATAATAGCTTATAATCTTTATTTTTATATCGTTAATGTTACTTGTATTTATGCTTACTTTAAATTTTGAACCGTTGTTCTATAATTTTCGTAACCAAATAAAATTATACATTACGATATACCTACGTATAATGTTGGGGCGTATCGAAAAATAAATTTAAACATTTGGTCAAATTACTAACGAGATACTAACGAATGAGGTCGAATTTGTATTATTATCTACATTTTTCTAAATACTTATATAGGTTTCCGATAATTCGGATGTGTGTATATTCGTGATCCAGCGTTAATTTTCGCTCGCATAGACTATACTAATACTAATTGTTACCACTGCGAGATCATTTTGATCTCGTGCGGAATTTGAATAAACGTCACTCGTATTACTCGTTAAACTTTACAATTAACTTTAGAATATTATAAGAAGAAACACTAGTAATTTATCATATTAATTCAAGAATGAATGAATGGTTTTAAAATCTGTAAAAATGACTAAATTAACATTACACAATACAATTCACGCGGTAAGATATGGTTTACACACACTACAAGTGAGAGGAGGACAGATTTGGAAATTATACGTAAACGAACATTTGTTGGCCCGAATCACTCGAGAACAAGAACGTAAATTATAAAACGATAGGTTTTAAAGTCACCCAAGTATTATTAAAGCGACATCGCCACTACACTAAACACACAGGACGTGTTGATTGGGATCTTGTGTCAGCCGAAAGAACGTCAAAGTCGAGCTTTTCTAATAGTTCCGTTTTCAAATGAATGATAAATACTTACTAATAATATAGTGAATTACGTTTCGATTTCAAAGAGGACACTAACCGCGAACGGCATGAACTAAACGGTCTAACGTTTCGAGAAATTATTTTGGAGGTTTGAAGTTCGTAAATGGATTCTTGATGTCCCGAGGTGTTACGAACGTGCACGTTTCTAAACGTCTTATGAAATTCGATGGAAAAAAAAAATCCCTACCAGTGTCTTATTTTTGTGTGTCAGAATAATGTTCGAATAATTTGACGTTGAAAAGAACGACATCACCGAACAATATTATGTATGCATTTCGAATGGTTAACCTTTGGGATTGCACTAGTATACATTTTTAAGTATACGAGCGATTCCCACTATGTATACGACCGGGTTTAATATTTAAGTATTAATTACGCCACGTTTATTATGAAAAATGCATAACAATCGCAGTTTTTATTTTTATTTTTTTTTTGCTTATGATTTCTGTTGTTACATTTCCACATGCAATAATATTATTACTGTACATAATTTGTACTTTTATCGAAACGAGGTGGCCGCGTTCAGTTTCACAAAATGTATTCCGATTTTTTTTTTTTGGCGTTTTCGAAGAACAAATGTTCGTTACCGATAAATACGCTTAACGGGTTTTCTGCGGTAATCGAACGGACGTTTTATCGAATTATAAAGATTATAATGTAGACACAAATCGGTATAGGTATACCGTGATGCTTCGGTACGGACGATTTTATTCAATATCCCTGCAGTTCGATGCCAGTGAAATACACCTGCGTCTATATTATTATGTGACGTATAAACGATATTTAAGACGAAACTTTTCGTTATTGTTGGCTTTCGGACTATTCTTGAAAGTCCTGCAGGACGTTCGCGATTTGCATAAAATACACACAGGTGAAAAGTTTGTAAATGTAATTAACACCGCAACGCCGAGAGAGTTTGCACAGGTCATTCGCGTGCTACACGCACCACCCTGTAGAGGGTTGCCAAGTTTCTAATACCGTCTGACCGAAACGAAACTTTCCACTAAAAGTTCGAAATATCAACGAAGTTTGGGTCCGGTAGGCGGACACCGGTAGCATAAGCAAACAAGCCGAGACGAAAGCACCTCGACCGCAACGACGACGACGATGACGATGTGAATATACAATAGTGTAATGATATAATATTATTAAGTATATGATGGGTTATGTGTAGGTATATGAAAACACGTCGCGTGTACGTGTTGATTTAATGCATTATGCGATGATTTATTTTTTTTTAGTTGTTATTGCGTTTAAAGTGAAAAAAAAAAAATAATAGAAATTAATTTCACTTTACGTCTTATTTCGGTATTGCGGTGAATAGTTACTTTTCGTCCATTATTTTCATTAATAATTTATTGAACTATCGTATGTTAAACGTTCGAATTAAAACAAACATTTCCTGTTACTTTTCGATAAAGAATGAGTAATGTTTCTCCCATACCATTATAGTGTTTTTGAATAATTATGATAACAGTATATTTATAATAATTAGAGATAGGATGTCGATGACTTAAAAAAACACACAAAAATGCCCTTAAAAAAATCACCAAACAAAAAAATCGTTCAAATATAAAATTTAAAACCGACTACAATAAATTGTGTACGTGTAATGCTGACAATAGTTCATTTTACAATTAATACATTTATCAATACCTATGTGAATGTCAATTTAATCTTGTTTATCGGATTTATTCCATTCAATTCATAAATATAATAATCGATAAGCGTTTGGTTCGATAAGTGTGTACGATAAATTATAACACGAGGACAATTAATCTGTATCAGTACGTGGTAAACTTAATTACACCAAAAACTCGTCAGTAATAATATTTTTGTTGGATATGAACATTTTTATTAAAATCTAAAATTTGAAAAAAATGCTCTACATTGTAAAAAAAAAAACAAAAAAAAAAAAAGTCCTATAATATGAAATAATGATGTAAAAATGTCAAAAAAACGCAAAATGAAATTAGTATATTATTCCGAATCAAGGGAACATGAAATTAATTTTCCGCCAAGATAGCATTTTATAAGATCAAGGATAAAAAAATTAAAAAATTATCTACATCCAATCTCTAATAATAAGTGACTATTATTGTAGTATCATGATATTTTTTTTTTTTTTTTGCATTCCCGTGTAAACTTTGTACGCATTCAATTCTAGGTCCACACAAAACCGCGGTGAAACCTGCGGTAGATCGCTCGGTGAAATAATGCGATGGTAAATAATTTGATGACATGACCATTTTCACCACCGCGTTGTAACAAATTGAAAACAATCAAAATGTAGATTTCGATTTTGAGAACAATAAAAACCACCGTCACCGCGGCAATGCGCGTATATGGACCACTCTGCATCCGCCAAAGTCATCAACTATAACAAAATAACACACCACCGTGGCAGTGTGTGAGGACCACTATGTACAATAATACGTACAGAATTTCGGGAATTTCTTTTTAATTTCGTTTTCAAACAAAATGCGACCAATTAAGATTATTTTCAAAAGCTCAAAAATCGTGTCTTACCATTAATATCGCCTTATAAACACGTCGTCCGTACTTGTACGCGCTTTAATGAGGCCGTAATCTGTACTGCACAATTGATTAGCGTGTGCATTTGATCGCACGAATACGTTGGAAAGGTGTAAAAAAATGGTCGTCGGAACGCCAGAAGATGATTCGCCCAATGATATTTTCGCATTCCACCGTCCAACCGTCAGACGGTGGAATATTAACGTCGGGTATTGCAGTCGATGGGTAGGTGGATGCCGGATTTTTAGCGACACGACAAGCGGATATTCCGGCCGTACGTGAACGCACGGTGCCGCGGTCTACGGAGAGCCGTCCGATACGGGCGTTATCCGGTAGAACTCCCGAACGGGCCCGGACGGGTCGGAGAAAGCGTTTGTAAAGCCGTAATCGGGTGGTAGGCGCACGTCCGATCCGGGGTCAAGCGGAGACGTTCCGACGACAGCGGATCGTGGTGTTGTAGGTGACGCCCGCGGTCGTGTCTGCAAAATGGTTAACGCGACGCGCAGACGATTCGCAAAAAAACTACGAACGTTTAACGCGAAAAACCGCGAGGACCGCCGGTATTACGGGCGGATCGTTGCCCGATCGCGCATTATTATCGTCGGACACTCGAACGCACCGCGAGGTTATTCGTTTTCGCGTCGGAATAACACTACGCGCGGCACGACCGCTTTATTCCGGAATACCCGGACGCGCGAGAGATCGCACTATACGAGGGCTAATCGAAAAGTATCGAGACTGCTAATGTTGCTCGGAGACCGAACGTCGAAGAGCAAAACGATTTGTAAACCTGGCCTCTATGACCTATACTGAGCACATCTATTCGTATAAAATCTCTATAAACGTCTTCGTTTTGATTTGACGATATTTTTCGAAAATTTGTTTTTCACGTTTGCCGATTTCGTAATGAATCCAAATGAAGCGGAACTCGCTGCCACTCGAGAGCACATTTTCAGTATTTCGATTGACATTTAATGGCAAAAACCGTGAAATGTCGCATCCCTCTGAAACTGGAAAAAAACGCACAACAAATTTTCTAAAATCTCCAAATCTGTCGAGTTACTCTTCTTTTGCGTTCATTACGAAATCGCCAAACTCGAAAAATATATTTTACAAAGCTATCGGTGAAATCATACCGAAGAATCGTTTAGAGAAGCAATAAAAGCAAATGTACTCAGAAAAAGTCATAGATGCGAGTGATGCCAATCCTACCGCTCTCCGACGCTCCATTTTCGAACGACACTACCAGTCTTGATACTTTTTGATTAGCCCTCGTATGTGTAGGCGCAATAAGTGTCCTCCCGGGTTTCGGCGCAATCCGTTTCGCTTGTTGTGAACGAAACCGGATCGTCAATACGAATATCAATACGCTAATAACGCGGTACGATAATATTGTACCGCGTTGAACGGCTCTGCTGATTGATCGTCCGCGTACCCGGCCGGACACGAGTTTTACGGCGCAGACAGTTCGAATCGCGTGAACGAAATTTCCGTCTGGCGTATTCGGTCCGCGCACACCGGTAATCGCGTTTATACGATAAAATTATTACGCTTACACTCGTCCTTTTTTTCCGGCTTTATTATTATTGTTTTGTTTGGCTCGCGTCGTTCGTCATTTACGCGCGGAATATTTACGAGCGTTATAATGTTTACGAAACATTTTCCGCCGGGTGCGGGCATTTTATTTGTTTTCTTCAATCCGGTAACTTTTGATTTAGTTTTCGCGCAAACAAAACGTTCTTTAAAAAGTAATTTTCTATAAACAACAACAGCGGCAACAACAACTATTAAATTAGATTAGATCGAATGGTAATAAAAATATAAAACGTGTTTTTTATTTATTTGTTTTATCGTATTCTGCAGTTATTGAATTCCCGACAAAACGCAAACATGCAAAAGTATTGGTTGTCACGATTTATTTCCATACGTTTTTACAAGTGTTAATTTTTTCAGGCGTTCCTGTTTGCTTCTGCCAATCTCCTTTTTCTCCGTCCGTTGAGTCCCATCATCGTTATCACAATCCTTCGTTACATTATCGTCTTAAAAAAGGCCATTTTCCTATACACGTCCGCTTTATAAAGTGCACAATTACAAATCCGTCCGACGGGTTTAATAGATCTTTCTAATGAGCGTTTATTTTCTTTTTTTTCTTTTTATCGATATATCCTTTACTAATTTACCACCGGCTGTCCAAACACGACCGAACCATTCGATGCGTTACTTTTCGTAGAGGGTTCGGTTTGTTATTCGGTTAATGCGGGTCTTGATTTTCCTTTTTTTCGTGTGTCTGCGACATTCAACTACTAGAATTAGAGCCGTATAATATGTTTTTCAAGAATGATTCGAGAATCTAGGGCCATCACTGTTACATAGTGCGTTTTTTTCGAGTGTACTATGTATACTAGAGTAACATAGAGTAATAACAAAAAAATAAGAAAACGATTGAATAATTACAAGTTTACATTTACATTTATATTTCTAGAAAATTTACATCTTACCTGCCAAGTGCATGATATCGATTTTGTCTGTTATTTGTTTCAAAGTTTTGTCGTCGAGTCAACAAATTAATGTAATGATACAGTGTGTCCCATCGCATTCGATGGATTTTTTAGGGGATAATAATAAAAATTAAATTTTTCTTAAAATTGATTGTAAAATAAAAAAAAAAAAAAAAAACGAAAAAACCGTAATATTTGCAGCACTAGAAATATCTGTCGAACACGGTGGGGCACATTATATAATTATATAGATTTTGGTTCGAAAACGGTACAGATTAGTTTGTAAATGTATTTGTTGATATATTATTCTAACTATTTTTCAAAACGCGAAAAATACCATCGGATCAGACAATATCGTGTATAATAGTATGCGTTAAAAAGTTTAAATTGCGATGGGAATATAAAATGTATTTATTTTACAAATTACTTCGGTGTTCGAGATAAATCGTTGTATATCTATTTATTAAAAAAAAAAAAGTTTTTCGTTTAGAATTTTAAGACCATTACATTGAATTTGATAATATGCCCGATCGATGACGATTTCGTATCATGTTATGCGGATCGTAATTTACCGTCGCACAACACAATTTTTAATTAAAATGTATTTTTATTCTTCATAAACTTTTAAACTGTACGTAAATAATACGAAAACAATGTCGGGGACTATCGAAAACTTAAAATACAACGATATTTTCGCTTAGACCACGTACCACGTCGATGCACGATACACATATTAAATTGCATAACACCTGACCTGGTTGGAGTCTGTGGTAATTCAAATAGTCGAAAACGAAAAATCTGTTGAAAATAATCGATAATATTTCCACTATAATTGGATCGTTTGACGTATAAAAACCGTACGGCGAAAACTAACAACTGTTGTATTCGTTGTGTTCGTAATATCTTACTAAATGTTTAATATCTAAATTGGCATAGGTAATCAATACTATTGTGTAGTAAAACGAAAACGGACGAGAACAGAAATATATGCCACAACGGCCAAAATACAAGAGAGTGATGCGGCCAGGTACCAGCTTACGGAATTTACTCGAACATTAATTCACTACTCGCGGCCTGCGGACGTTTTAAAACTTTAATGTCCTTTTTAAGAACGATCAGTTCCTTGCAATACGCTTGTATAACATCCATAGTTTTTAATGACTCTATCCGACAAGTTCAAAAAGCAAAAAAAAATAAATAAAGATCTTTTATTCTTACAATTTAGGTATGTAAGAAAATATTATATAGATACGTATGTA